TATATACATATACACAAACAATTTATTTCTTAGCGCCATATTTGCTAACGGTCTTACCATCAGGGATTGAAAATAACACTGCCGCCTTGCCTTCTCCATACGGTTTGTCTACTCTATAGTATCCTTTTCTTTCAAATTGAATAATATCTCCTTCCTTCAACTTGCCAACGTTCAAATCACCGTACACTTTGGTGTGGAATTCAGTTTCTGGAGTGAGATAATCTTCAAAATTATCTCCTTCATCTAATTTATCCTTCGTAATTAAATGATCAAAATCGACTAAGTCTGCCTCCACCTTGTCGTTCGTATCTGCCAACCAAGTAATTTTCTTTGATGTCTTGCGGAAGTCACCCTCTAAATGTAACTTTGCATCAACGCTTTTGACGATGTCTCCGTCCCTTTTAACAGCAGTAATGATAGCATTACCCCAGTCCATCAAAGTGATTTCTTCATTATCAGATAATCCTTCAGCATCACTTTGATCGATTAAAACTTTGTTAGCATAAATCACTGGTTTAGCACCAACATCCAAGTTCTTTTTATGTTTTGGTTTCTGTTCCGTAATAGGAGACTCTGGACCCCCAACAATACTAACTGGAACAGCATTTGCGACTTCGACAGCTGTAAACCTGGGTGCAACAGGATCTATTATTTTTTTATTAAGAGCCCAAATAATTGACCAGTCCAAATTAATAATATTCTTCGAGGGACCTTGAGAAATAACAAAATTCCTTAATCCTTCAACCGTCATACCTCTTCTTCTAACTCCCCTAACGGTAGGAAACCTTGGATCATCCCAATTGGAAACATGATCTTGATCCACAAACCACTGTAGTTTTCTCTTCGATAATAGAGTCCTAACAAAATTCACTCTTGCAAAATCCCAAATGTACACTTTACGTAAATTTAAAGCATTCAAAAACCATTCGTACTGAGGATTACGGTCTCTATATTCTATAGTTCTTAAAGCATGAGTGACACCTTCTAGTGAATCGACGACAGGAACGCAAAAGTCATAGATCGGATACATCTTCCATTTATTACCAGTACGATGGTGTGGGGTCAAATTGCATCTGTAAATTACAGGATCTCTCATGGCCTTATTCAAAGCCTTGTAATCGATTTTGGCTCTCAAACAATTCTTCAAGCCTTCGTCGGTACCATTTTTCATTTCTTGTGTGAAAATACGTAAATTGTCTTCGATCGATCTATCCCTCCTTTCAGAGGCAATACCATCCATTCTTTCTGCCCTCATCTTCTCCGAAGCTGTATCGTCACAATAAGCCTTACCTTCTTTGATTAATTGAATTGCCAAATCATACATTTGATCAAAGTAATCAGATGAATAGGTGATGAGATCACCTTTTATGCCTAAAAGGGCTAAATCGGCGAGAATCGACTCCTGAAATTCTAGTTTTTCTTTAGTAGGATTAGTATCATCGAATCTGATTATTAACTTACCCTTGTAAGCATGTGCAAAATATTCATTCAAAATTGCAGCTTTAGCATGTCCAATATGTAAGTATCCAGATGGTTCAGGTGGGAAACGAGTGACAACTTTACCCATTTCTGCATGGGGTAAGTCAATTTCGAAATTAGCTTTATGAACTGTCTTTTTACCACCAGATTTAGACGAGGCCGCAGATTTTCTCTGAGATATAATAGTCTTACTCATTACATCTACGCTGCCATCAAATCTTTTGTCGAACGCAAGGAAATTATACCACCTTGAGACATTAGGATAAACTTCATTTTTTATAATAGAACCCATCAAAGCATTCGCTCTCAAGACACCCCAAATAGTAATATCTGCTAACGAATAACCATAACCGATAATAAAAGATCTAAAATTTAAGTGAGCATCCAATTTTTCTAGAGCTGAAGACAATTCCTTGAAATTTTTAACATAAAGTTTCTCCAAACCAAAGGTGACCCACTCGACAGATTTGTCAGATTCAGAAAGAATCGAAGGGAAGTTTTTACTGAGATGTATTAAAGCATCACTTTGATTTGTAATTTCCTCATTTTGTGGAGTCTTCAAGTTGATTGGCGCCTCTCTTTCAGAGCTGACTGTCTTGTCATCTACGTAATCAATATTAATAGTTCTGGAATCCTTATCGTTGATAAAATTAGCTGCTATCAATGAAGGATAGCAAAGAGTCGGAGACTTTGATGCGATGGATAACTTATAGGCCATGGCTTTAGTATACTATGAATCGAGTACCAGAAGGTGGATGAAAAGAAGACAGCAGGAAAAAAAAAGGTGAACAGAAAAAAGTTTCCTAGTTCACGTGCCCATCTCCGATTTTCCTAAATACATACTAAATATACGCAAGAGGTATTACTGCTCTGAATTTACTTATACTAAAACACCACATTCTTACTGAATTCGAAGTGGTTATGGGTGGACCATCTCTGTCGAGATCTAGCTCACCTCAGCCGCAGTTCTCGCAAAGGCCGACTGCTAAAAGATCCCCATCGATTCTAGTTACTGATACTAGAAGCAGCAGTTCTAAGGGTGCTAGGGCTCCTTTTGCTGGCCATAAATTTAAAAAGCAGCAACAGCTGCTGCTGAGTTCTACACACCATTCCCGCCAACCTAGTTTTCAGGCGCGTTTTGGCTCTAGGTCTAATAAGTATACAGACATATCGGTTGATAAGTTACTCAGCAACTCCAGTGATATTCCATCAGGACAGAGCAGGTTACCGCCATTGCTAAATCGGTTTGGAAGAAGATCTCCACCTGATGCTCAAGGATATAACGGTTCAAATATCGAGCCCGAAGGTAGAATAAATGGGACAGGAGCTCCCTTTTGGAGAAAGAATATAAGGAATATCCCCAACTTGTCGCAACCATTACCTTCCAGAACATCAAAAACATCACAAAAGCTAGTATTAATACCAGAGCAGCATCAGAGACTTGGGTCACCAGTTCCTCATATACCGCCTCAATACTCATCTCAGGCTGTTCCATTTAATCCCGATTTACAATCTCAAATTCAAAGGTCTAGGGCAGAGCTTATGTCAAAAGAAGAAAGGGAATATGAATTTTGTAGAATGACAGCTTATTTCATATGCGAGCAATTCAATATAAAGGCTGTTTCGGAGTTTCTTAAGAAAAATCACGAAGTGAATCCCAGAGTCTATGATGAAGTGCTATACATCCCTTATGCATTACCATTGCTTCCAGGGGCAGATGGTTATCGAATCAAGTCTAATAATTCTGCAAAGCTGCTTCCAAATAAACGTTATATGGAAAAGATGATAAACAAAAGTGAGCAAGCTGATCATTTGTACGAATATTATTCTGGATTTGAAACACCTGAAGATGCAAATAATTATTCCATGGACCCAGAGCTAGAAAATTTCGATAATAATTCTCCTTTCGATCCCTCCGAACCTCAGTTTTTTGCTCCTCCCATTGCTCGAAGAGGTGGAACAGAGCTGAATTTAGAAAGCAATGGTGAGCATACATCTCAAGAGACAAAGTCTACATTAGAAACACCTAAAGACGAACTTAAGATAAAAAAAGACCAAATCAAAGATTCTCTAAAGACTCATGGAAATGAATCTCTGTCGGAGCTCTCTAAGCATCACGCAGAAATGTTTATTTTTAAATATGGTGTTGTTGTATTTTGGAATTTTTCTGAAATACATGAGAAGAATATTCTAGCAGACTTGGCCTTTGCTTCGCATGACCCTGAACCTTTATTGATAAATCCAATTGATGAGCAAGATATTGAAACAGAAGAATTCCATTTTGAATATGACAGTGATATCTACAGGCCTCGAATTTATAACGACATGATAACATTAAGATCTGGTGACCACCTCATCAAACTTACAATGTCACATGCAATAGCACAACTGACAAAGCTTAGTTTGTTTGAGAGTAGAATGGTTAATATCTTACAGCTGATTTCAAAGCTTCCGAAGAAATTAGCATTAACCGGTAAGTTGGGCTTGAAAAGGCACCAGCTTATAAAGAAATCCGGAAAATTATTCAAGTTACGAGTTGATGTAAATTTATCTAGCTCAATTTTGGATACGCCGGATTTTTTTTGGTCCTTTGAGCCCGCTCTTCATCCATTGTATACCGCAGTTCGAGAGTATTTGGAAATTGATCAAAGAGTCCAAGTATTAAATGATAGATGTAAAGTTTTCTTGGAGTTCCTGGACGTCATAAGTGACAGCATGAATGAACTGAACACAAATAGGATTACCTGGATGATAATAATTATCATCTTTATGAATTTATCTGTTAGTGTGTTCGAGTTTATTTTGGAACTTTTATAGACACTGATTGACAAAACAGGCATCAATAGAACGAAATAATAGCTTCGCATTTTATATACACTACACATTCCGTATAATTTAGTAGATGTATCCAGTGAGCTGAAATATGATAACACTCAGAGTATGTCATTACCGTCCAAATACGCTCCTGAAAGCTTAAGCAGCTCTGATCAGAGAAAGGTAATAACTGTAGGGCATCATAGACCAAGGAAGCCGGTTGAATATATTTACAAGACATTAAATGATAAAGTAGACGAGGCAGTTCAAAATGAAAAGTCGCATGATAATTTTCAAGAGGATGTAGAAATGGTCCCAATAGACGATGATCGCCAAGTTGAAATGATATCTAGCTATGTGTCTACTAGCAGAAATAATGGAGAGCTTGATGAAGGGAGTCTCATTGATATGGAAGTTGAATCAGATGACAACCAACTAAATGAAAACAATGTATCATATTTAGTGATCGACACAAATTTTATATTATCACATCTTAGAATACTAGATGAGCTCAAAAGAAGAGCTAATGAATTTGCACTAAAATTGGTGATTCCTATTGCTGTCATGAAAGAACTCGATGGGCTCAAGAAGTCAACAAGAAATTCAAACGATAGTGGTGAAAATGTAACTGGTGAGTCTGTAAACCATCTTGCTCGGTGGGCTAATGACTGGATATATGCAGCTTTGGCAAACAACAGTGAGTCTGTTATTGGTCAGCAGATGAAACAACGACTTGACAAGACTACAATTCAAGACGATGCTATATTGGATTGCTGTTTGTATTTCAAGGAGAAATATTCTGATAGATTAGTCGTTCTTCTCTCCAATGACAAAAACTTATGCATGAAAGCTCTTACTAACGGAATCTTGACTGTCAGTTATCGCAAAAATATGAGTGCTGATATAATCGCCAATGCTATATATTCTGAAAATCTTAGAAGAAATAAGAAAGTGAATATCGATGATCATTTCACGCCCGCTTACAATACAACCAATATAAAGGACACATCACTTAATACCTCAAGCACAAATTCCTCGAGCAACTTTGAAGAGGTTACGAATTCAATTTTTGAAGAAATTCAATCCATCACCGTGTCCATCATTCACCGTTGCATGATGCTGACATATGGGGATGATATAGACCTTTTAAAGGATTATGACAAAACCTATTTGAGAAGTTTAAGAGATTGCTCGGAAACCTTGATAAGGTTTTGGTTTCCCGTTTTCTTAACATATTTTTCACGAAGCTTTGATAATTTCAAGCCCTTTGAAGAACGAGGTAATGCCAAGACTACTACCAAACTCCCTATTTTTTTCTCGGTACCCAAAAATATTCAAGAGCTTCGAGAGTTCGTTGAATTTTGGTCGAGGTCCTTGAAAGTATTGTATCTGGTCGAAATGAATGAGGAACAAAATAATGCACTAAATCTCCTTGTAAAAAGATGGCATAAATTAATAGAGAAATTTAAATAAAAAATAGATAAGACCTGTAACAAAAATAATAGGTTTGAACAGCTAATTGAGGGTCTAGCGTCTATTTCTAAGAACTCCGATTCTTTTAGGCTTTTTTCTTCTAGGAGAAACATCTATCTTTTTTCTTACTTGAATCGGAGCAACATCTTTAGATTTTGTTTCACCTAACTCCAAACCATTGGAAAATTTCCAAGACTTTTCTAACACTAATGCTTCCTCAAGCTGCTTCCATTGTCTATCTTCAAACGATGCATCAGCATTCTCTATTACTTTCAATTCCTCAAAGTACCGATTTTCTGTAGTCTTTGCCCATTCTGAATCGTTGAACTCTTTTAATGCTGCATATTCTGATCTATTGTTCTTGCTATACCTCTTTATTATTTCATTTCCATGGCTTAGTTTAAGATTCTCAGTCAAGTAACTCATGTATAAATCTTTCAGCTTTATTAATTTTTTCAAGTAATTTATATCATGCTGCAAATAATTGTGGTTTCGGAATTGTTGGAAGTTGAGAGCAGATAGAAGCTCCGTCAAATACTCTTGCAGTTGCTTCTTTAGCTTAAAGTTCCATAGGAGTTCCTTGAAAGACAAGCTGATTATAATATCCTCTCTTGATAAGCTTAGAGTGGTAAAATTCAAAGCTTTGCCTTTAGTATTGTCGCAGCTTCCTTCACCTAACGTTTCCAACAAGTTCTTTAACGCATCATCATCTAAGTCCTCATAACCAAGTGATCCCGCCTTCTCTAGTAAGTCTTCTTCCGAAGTAGCCTCGACCCAAGCATCACTAAAGTTTGTAATATAAAAGCAGTACGAATTCGTTTCCTTATTAATTCGGAGTCCATAAATGAAGTTTGGAGGGCAGATCGATTTAAATGAAGACGGGTACCAGATATCGGGGAGTTCGAGCATTATTATTAAGCTTACTACCTATTGCTTTCATTCATTCAATATTGAATCTCACGAATCAATAGATGGTAGAGCAAATAACTTTATATTCTGATCAAATCGGAGAACTAGTTGATAGAACTTTGAAAATATACAACTCGAAATTGAAAGCACAACCCAATTCAAGAGTATTAATTTGTCTAGCTGGGGTCCCGGGTTCAGGAAAATCTACCTTGTCTTCTTATGTTGTTAATGAACTTAACAAGCATGTATCTGCTGTCGTGCTTCCCCAAGACGGGTTTCATCTTTATAGACATGAATTGAAGGAACTTCCTAATTCTGAAGAAGCTATATTTAAAAGAGGAGCACCATTCACTTTTAATTCATTAGCTTTTTTGGAGTTAGTGAAAAAATTGGACGATCCGGCTTATCTTGATAAAACGATAGCAGCTCCCTCTTTCAGTCATGAACTTAAAGATCCCTCTGAAGGCAAAATCATTATTACGGGGGATACAAATATTATAGTAATCGAAGGTAATTACGTTTTACTCAATGACGAAAATTGGAATGAAATCTCGATTCACGCAGATGACAGTTGGTTCATGGATACACCGTTAAGTGTTGTTAGAGATAGAATCATTAAACGACATGTACAGTCGGGAATTGTTGTAAATGAGCAAGAGGCTATTAAGAGAGTGGACGAAAGCGACCTTTTGAATGCAAAATATATTCTTGCAAATTCTAAACCTGCTAAGGTTATAATTAAGTATAGAACAGAATAAATCAATTAATTTATAATCATCTATTATATGTATTTAGATGCGATAAAAATGCTATAATATGACCAGTTTTATCAAACTTCTACTACAAAAAAAAACAAACTATGCGGGGGTAACATTGTACCTCATCTTAATACCCATGGCAGCAAACTCAGAATCCAAATACTTCAAAACGAAGGGGATTGCAACCGTTGTAGTATTGTTTCCACCACAAAACTTCTTACCTTGTCCGTCCTCCCATATCTCTGATTCATCTACGTATTCTCCTTGCCTACTATGAGATTCAAGTTTTGTAGAGCATCTCCGACATCTAGTGGTAGCTGCCGTACCAATTCTTGGAACGGAGGTTTGCGTATTCAAAAGTGATCCACAAGAACGGCATATTGATGTTTGAGTATAATCTGAACAATTTAGAAGTCTGTCTTGCAAAAGGAAAGCTGTTCCATGCCCAATCAAAGCATCTCTTTCCATCTCACCTACACGAATTCCACCAGATCTCTTACGACCTTTTACAGGTTGCATAGTTAGTGAGTTTACAGGCCCGGTAGATCTCACTTGAAACTTGTCGTTAACCATATGGCGCAATCTCTGATAATAAACACATCCAATGTATATATCGGCTCTCAATTCTTCTCCAGTAACTCCAGAATACATGGGTTCGTTACCATGATAATTATAACCAGCCTTTCTAAGTTGATCTCCAAAGAAATCCGCAGGTGTGTCATTTTCGCTAAATATCCATGGAGTAGAATCTTGAGCTATTCCGTGTAAAGCACCTGCCTTGCCAGCCAATGATTCAACAAACATACCTATCGTCATCCGCGAGGGGAAAGCATGGGGGTTAATGATAACATCAGGCTGGATTCCACTTTCAGAGAATGGCATGTCAATTTGGGGCCATTTTCTTGAACAAACTCCTTTTTGTCCATGTCTTGAAGAAAACTTATCACCAATTAGGGGTTTTCTGGCGATTCTGTATTTTATTGTGATTTGTTGTCCTTCCCCGTCGCCACTGTCGTCACCAAGAAGTTTAACTTCATCAATATATGCTGGTTCACTTGAATGATAGGTTTTTACTTTAGTCTTCCCTAAAGTATCATCAAAGTATGCCACAATCGGGTCACCCTCTTCCATTCTCACACCGATTAGTGGAAACCCGTCTGTATCAAGTTTCTCTCGCCATGTTTCTGGCCATTCATCTTGACCAAAACCAAAGTGTTGCGTTATTGGGTCTCCTCTACGTCTTGATTGAGATAAATCGACCTTCTCTACCTTGTAAACGGTACCATAGCCAAACCCACGCTCATCAGCAGATTTATTTATAATCATAGCATCATCCATATCATAACCTGTATATGATATAACTGCAACCACCGCATTCATTCCATTTGGAAAATTATCCATACCATAATCATCGTATAAGGATGCTTTAACTATTGGAGTTTGGCCCGTCTGCAAGCGATACAATTTATTATCAGAACGATGACACAAGGCAACACCAGGCGTTCCCATTGTTTGCTTACCCATTTGACACTGGTACATGTTACGAGGTGACTGATTAAAATCAGAAAATGGAGTCAAATTTGCTAATATAGATAACATGTTTGTTGGATAAAATTCGACATGAGTGTGAAATTCTTCAATCTCTGAGGGAGTAACTGCAACATTCATGTACACCTGTTCAAAGGGCCCAACAATATCAGTTTTCCCCAGCGGTAAATATTTTACGGGACGCATCATCCTGGAATGACCGCCAAACAAATACAATCCTGGGTATTGTCCCTTGTTTGAAGGAGGAACGTATCCAATTTCTAAATCCAACGGTAAACCATGATTACCTTCGACTTTCCAATACCTCATGGTATCTGCGATGATTTTGCCTCTTTCGTGCGTGGTCCACCCAACAACGTTTCCATCTAATTGAACGCAACATACGTTAGGGCCCGCAGCGAAAGAATGAGGGGGAGAAACTCCTAATTTTGCTAATAGAGAGGGAACCTTGGATACATCTGCAGATACTGTGGCAATTTTGCACTTATGGGCCAAGTGGTTCAATAATCCACAAGGGGATCCATCAGGAGTATGTACGGGACACAAGAATCCCCATGATTCTGGCAATAGCTTCCTGACAGTCGTCGTTTTCAATTCTGCAAAGAAAGATCCTCTATGTACCATTCTGAAATGAGATATAAATCTGTAAAAGTTAATTTTCTCAGCCACCACGGTATAACCAGACACTTGCTGTAAATCAAGGCCAGATTGAGAGACCAAATTACCAGTCGATAAAAAGTATTGAAGCTTTTGACCAATATTTTCGTTGATTCTCATGAAAACTCTTGACATATATTTTCTATCATTGAAATTCACAGCCATACCACGATTTATATCTGTCTGAATTTGTATTCTGATATTTTGTAGATATTCTTCCATCTTTTCTTTGATAATCATGCCATATAGGAAGCCACCCAAGAGTATTTCTTGATATTGTGTAGCATCAGGGTTATCTGGAGCGCAATCCCCAGCCACCAATGAATAGAGCTTCCTAATCATAAAAAGTAGCATTCTAAACTTGTCCGAATTCTTACCTAAATGAACCAAAACGATCTTTCTCAAAAATTCCTCACCAACTTCAATATCGGATACATCAGGAGTCGCCCCGAAAACAACCCTAAATTTGTCGCCTAAGTAAGCTAAGGTTTCTTTCCTTGAGTATAAATTATATTTTTTGTAGGTCCTAAGGAGCAATTCTAAACGATCAGTCAAAAAAGAATTTGAGACATCAGCACCGACAATTCCATCAAAGATTTCACGATCGCTGGTTTCCATAAGAGCCTTCAATATCATCATGACAGGGACAAGGTATTCATTTTTCCTCCAGGAAAACCTGAAAGTTACATTCCCATCACTCAAATAATGTAATACATTAGTTTGAGAAGACTGGTCGGGCCTGACACATCTTATTTGAATACCGAATTTCGTATATGAAGCCCCTCTATTTCCAAATGATGGCCTAATGATAGCCATCGCATGATTACGACGTTGTACAATCAACATCCTTATCAACTTTTCGATACCATTAACTATAAAATAACCCCCAAGCTCATCGGATTCTTCCTTTTTTTCTACTAACTCATTCGGAGATAATTTCTCAAGATGACATCTATTTGATTTCAACATGATTGGTACCTGTCCTGCTTCTCTTATCTCAGATACTTCCTCTCCGTCATTGACGCTCCAGCATACCTTAAGCATAAGCCGTGATCTATAAGTAATCATTCTTTCTCTGCATTCTGAAGGGTAAGTACGTCTGTTTACAGATAACTTGTCATTGGGTGGAACAGATGGTTTTGCTAATTGAACAGAATCAACCCAAATTTTCAACTTATTGCCTAATCTCTCAGAGTCTTCCGAATCAAAGATTGTCTTCGTCCCAATGTCTTTGGCTGCCAAGTTTAAAAGACCACCATCAGGACCTTCCATTAACGCATTGAAAGATCCTAAGTGCGGAGAGACTGCTTCAGCTAGAAGAGGATAGGCACTCTTATCCTTAGGTGGATTTTGAAATCTCCTTTCTCGTTCGAGAGTTTTGAATTCAACAACCATCCTTTCGACGTTCTTTTCTTTCTTTGGTGTTTCGTCTTTGTATGGAGATAGAGATAGAAAAAAGTTGAAGAAAATTTAAAACTCAAGATGAGCTCACGTGATGCAAACTTTTCTTCATCAGAGTTACATCAAAAAGTAACACTGCAATACCATAATAGTATCTCCATAAGGTCTGAGACATGGCTCATTCAAGGTTTGAATATGTGAAAGAGTTTGAGAAAGAGAACTACTTATTACCTGATACATTTATCGTCATCAGGGTGGATGGGAAGGGATTTCACAAGTTCAGTGAAAAATACAACTTCCAGAAGCCGAACGATATAAGAGCACTCAATGTGATGAATCGTGCTAGCGAGAAAGTTGTGAGACAGTTCCCTGATATTTTGCTTGCATATGGAGACTCTGATGAGTACTCTTTCTTACTAAGGAGAAATTGTAATTTATTTGAAAGAAGAGAAATGAAACTTGTGTCAACATTCGCTTCTGCGATAACATCTCATTATTATTATGAGTGGAATCAGGAATTTCCTGAAAAAGCATTGTGGCCAGAGAATCTACCAATGTTTGACTCGAGAGCAGTGGTATACCCTTCTGCAAAACATGTTCGAGACTATTTTAGTTGGCGACAAGTGGACTGTCATATAAATAATTTGTATAATACAACGTTTTGGTCAATGGTTGAAAAGGCAAACTTGACACCTAAAGAAGCGGAGAACAAGCTAATGGGGACAGTTTCAAGTGATAAAAATGAAATTTTATTCAAGGACTTTGGAATTAATTATAACGATGAACCAGACATCTTCAAAAAAGGTACAATAATTGTAAGAGAGTATGAATCATGGAAGCCAGAGCTTGAGAGTGACAATTCGGCTAGGCAACGGCAACGTATTGAAAAAAAACGGAAAAGAGCAAACATAGCATTTCATCACGTTGATATTATAAAAGATGATTTTTGGAGCTCTCGACCATGGCTCTTAGAGTGAACTTTCCAATAAAAAATATTAGTTTATTTAATTACTTATAAAAACTATCTATAGAGTATATGTTCATAATTCGCCTCTGAGTAATAATATGCAAAACTTGCAATAAACAAGTCTTAATAATTATAATCCAACACATATAAAATGAAACTCTATTGAAGTTGTGAGATGCTCAACTTTTGTAGATGATAAGTCAACATAGTATAAGACAAAGAAAACTTTCTGTCCATCGGTCATACTTTTATATATGCATTTAAGGTTGAAATAAAGTTGGATTATTAAAATAAAATTAAAAAAAAAAAACACCATCACCTGAATATATCACAAATGGATTGAATCGCTCAATGAATTGAAAGTTGACGCTGGTGAACTTATATAAGAAGGATTCGTAAATGTGGCTGGAGCCGCTGTCCTGTCACTATTCTCATTATTGTCTCCGTTATAAAAACAGTATGCTTGTAATAAATCAGAATAAGACTTTGAATTGAATTGAGTATCATTCACCGAAGTAGTACTTTGATTAATCTTCTGCTTTGACTTGAAAGATTGCGAATATCTCGTAGGCTTAACATTTAATATATCGGAAGTTGAAAATGAAGATTTCAATGCAGGCCTTACCTGCCTAATTTTGTTTTCTATAGTAGGATCAATCGGAGGATAAGATCTTGGTTTGTCCAATTCATCATTTATATTGTATCTATTATGAAATTCCGATTTGTTTTTTGTTGGATTGTTGTTGAGAATTTGCTTTGGATTGAGATCATCATCATTATACAAGTCATGTTTGATACTTAGATCATCTTCATATTTAAATTTAAGCAACTTATTGACAAGTTCATCACATTCTGGAGCCAAACTCTTGAAGTCATAATTGTAATTTTTAATAGTGTTGCTAGATTCAACAAAAGGTTTTAAATTAATGTGGTAATTGTGCCCCTTATTATTATCCCAAAATGTTGAACCAAGTACCTCATATTTAATGACTATTTCGAGGTTAATCGATCTAGGCATATTTGTTAACGGTATCTGAAACTTGAATTGGTCAAAACCTATAGACGCAAATGACTTCGAATAATTTACGTTATTAAGTATAAGACACGAATTCCAGTTGTCTGGTGACAATTTGATAGAGAGGTGCTTTTCAAAAGCTAGATTTTTGACCATTATTAAACCTGTTAAAGTGGTTCTGTCTGATGTCAATTTCACTGACTGCAAATAACAAGCAAGATCTTGCTTGTCGTATATATTCTTAGCAGGCTTCAAATCCGTGTACGCAATGTCGTATTTTACTCTTGGGGGACCATTTAAGATGTTTTCATCATCCGACGAAGTGTCAGAAGTTATATCGCTTATTTCATCGTCATCCCATCCCCAATGAAAGTACCCCTTGGAGCCAAAATAATCGTCATCGACATTTTGTGGAGAATGGACTGGGGTATTCTCATTTGTAGATACAACTGAAGGCAGCTCTCTTCCATCAAACATTTTCACATTTGTCAACCTAGAGGCAAAACGAACGGATTTACCGCTCGATATTTGAGAAGTTGAAATCAGTCTAGGTAAACCATTTAACTTCATAGAAGATTTCACCAACTCTCCTGATTTCTTCCTCACGAGGTTTGGTGGTGCTTCCAACATCCCTCTCGATACTTCCTCAGACCCCGGAAGCTTTATTGTAGACATTGTGGAGTTACTGTCAACAGAGTCCACAGATGCATCCCTTGTTCCCAGGTAAATCAGCGGTGTGTGACACTGATCCACACAACGGCCGAGCCTCAGACCTTCCTCAACATCGGTATCGCTATTATCTATGAAATCAGTGTTAACATTAGTGTTGATAATAGTGCTGGTGGTGCTACCGCCCCTAGCGCTAGCCTCCATTAAATTCTTGACTGTCAACGGGTGATTTGCAGTTGTCATTTGCCTATCCGTTAACAAGCCCACCAGAAGTCCACTATGTAAAAAGTGGAGTGCCTACCTCTCCGAACTAAATGACACTATGCGACAGAATATTCGTATTTAAATTATACAAAACTTTTTTTGATCAGAGATTGTGGTAAATTTTAAATAAAGAGCAAAAGGGGGAAGCGCTTATAGATGCAGAATCTGAAATTTTTGTTGAGTATCAGAAAAAGAAAAAATAATAGCAAGAAAAAATCGCCTGCGAACTATTGTTACGGGTATACATACAATATTGACTACTACGATCAGTAACTTGTCAAGACGATATGATAGACTCAATAGTGACATGCTTGTTACATTCCAGCAACATACGTACAAATCTTGTTAGTCTTGAATCCCTTTGGCCTCTGTGGAGAATTGCTGCCTCACTTCCCACATCCGAATTTGTCTCACAGAATTATACCACATTAGTGCGATTCCGTCGCACCACCGTTGATCTCTACTAAACTACGGATAACTACGGACTAGGAATAATTTTAACGTGGAGAACATGTACTTAAAGAGTCTTTGTCAGCCAAAGATTCGCTAGACAACAGACTCATTTAAGCATTTCCGCTTCTTTTCTTCTGTCACCTGTAGAGATAGGTCTAGTCTATCCTTCCCTTGGCGTGTATGCGCATCCCTACTACTCAAGTCATCGCCGCAATAAGGGTTTCGCGCGCAATTGATGCAGGATTAGTGGAGACGTGGGGTGTGTTGGTAGGCATCTGGGCTTGCAGGCAGATGGCGGAACCGATCGGAGAAAGCGCCGCCTGATGAGTACCCCACTATCTAAAAATTTTGACAAAAAGTGTTAAAAGTCTTCTCGCCCTAATCAAGCTTAAAACAAACACATCGCAACTTGATGTCTTAAAGAGAAATGTTCGTTTCGTTACCGTATGACTCTTCGCAGAGTTGTAGATAAATTCGCACTTCATTTCATATGTTCGAAAAAAGGCATAATTGCATACATACGCGAATATTTGTGGGGCAGTAGTAGGGCAGATAACAAACGCGAAAACTGAGACAATAGTTCCTTTTTCCCAAAGAGTTCCGTGCTCTTAAAGGGAGTGAAATAGTAACAGGGGTACGAGTGACTATAAGGCTGCTAAATAAAACTTCAAAGTTGCTGCAATATTGCTGACATTCAAGGTCACAGCCACCGCTGAAAAGCAGCATGAGTTTTCTGATAACCACGGTACTTCAGTTTTCAGACAATAAACCTTTCACTGAACTTCTACACCATCTTGAAAATAATCTTCGAGAGTGGCGCCATATTGATGAGCACTTGCTACCACGCAGGAGTATCCTTTGACTTTCGAAGTTTTTGGCCAAAAGTCATGCTCCTGAAGCTAGAAATAGATAATAATAGTGGACAAAATATGTAATTAGAATATACCTAGTTAATGTGGCATTATGCTCTATAAATTTATGTGCTCCACTCAAAGGACGAATGTAAAAAAAATAAAAAATATAGGTGAAGCATTAGTCTTTCTCGGAGAAATTTTTTCTTGTCAGCCAACATGGAAAAAAGCCTAATTCTTAGCCGAATCTTCTTTTAGCGTCACTATTCTATTCAATATAATTTTTTCATCAGATGAATCTTTATCCAAGCAGAAATAACCAACACGAAGAGCCTGAAATCTAACTGTTTGATTTCCAGGCTTTTCGATTATATTGAACTCCGAGTTTTCAATCGGAATGTTCATTGGAGATTTGGCTCTGATAGCTGCAAAAGAAGGCTCTATCACCGCCGTCGTGAAAACCTCCTCTGAATTTGGATTAAGATCTTTGAGGAAGCCGTCCGGATGAGCAGCTGGGTTTTCACTTTTGAAGAGTTGATTGTGAATTCGGACTTGGTCAATTTTCACAGATGCACTCTTCGGGATCCATTGGATATATGTTTTAGGTTTACTCTCCGAATCCTTCTCGTAAATAGCATTGATCTTCAAAACCATGCCATTTGAGTCCTTCTCGACAGATTTTACGCTGATGTTATGAGGTACTTTAATTAGACCAACCGGTTGTCCTGGTGCCAATCTAAAGTATTCTGACGACACGTCATCACGATAGTCGGATCTATCAATGTATATTCTTTTAGTGAATGCAAGCTTTCGCAGCCCAAACTTTTCATTCGCACCAGGCTTGTATGGGATTTCAATTGATTCTTCATAGTGCTCTGGTAAACCTTCGATTTCCACCTCGATAGGATCTAACAACATCATTAATCTAGGTGTCGTAGAATCAAGATACGCTCTCACAGCGCTTTCGAACCGCACAGCTTGAATATTTGTAGTAGAAGTAGTGACCCCTAATGTATTAATAAATGATAAAATGGCGCCTGGTGGCACTCCACGGCGCCTTACGGCTTCTAAGGTATACAAACGAGGATCATCCCATCCTCTAACAATCCCTTCATTAACTAATTTGGCAATTTTCCGCTTAGATAAAATTGTTCCCGTAATATTCAATCTTCCGTATTCTCTCTGGGCGGGTCTGTAAACATGCAAAACATCACATAGCCACTCATAAGACTCTCTAGAGAGTCTAAATTCAGTCGTACATAATGAATGACTGATGTGTTCCATGGAATCTACTAGACAGTGGGTAAAGTCATAAGTAGGATAAATCTTCCACTTATCTCCAGTCCTATGATGTGGCGTATTCAAAACTCTATAAGCAACTAAATCCCACATCTGAGGTGAAGGAGATGAAAGATCCTGTTTCATTCTTAATGTTGCCTCGCCAACCTTATAATGACCCTCTTTCATCTTTCTAAACTCAGTAAGATTGTCTTGCACCAGCCTAGATCTATGAGAACATGCATACCTTTCCCCACCTAGTGTTCCATCTGATTTCAACCCCCTCTGCTCTTTTACTTGCTCTGCAGTACAGTGGCATACGTATCCTCTATCATTTGAAATTAGTTTCTCTGCAAGCTCATATAACTGATCAAAGTAGTCTGAAGAGTAAGTTATTTTCCACGGCTTGTATCCAAGCCAGTCAATGATACTTTCGATCGATTTAAAGTAGACTTCCTCTTCTGCCTCAGGATTCGTATCGTCAAATCTTAAGTAGCAATTCCCATCATGATAACTCGCATAGCCAAAGTTAACCATGATTGCCTTTGAATGACCAATGTGCAAATAGCCATTAGGCTCTGGTGGAAACCTGGTGAAGACCTTACCCTTGGTAATAGCTAACTGCTCTTTTAATAACTCCGGATACATTTGCGGAGTTTCATCCGGTTTGTGCAAATCTCCTAAAAATCCTTCACTAAACATCGATCTTTCTTTATCAGATGATTTCTTACTTGCTGATGCGCTTTGCTTTTTGCCTTTCTTCTTTTCTTTTTTGATTATGTCTCTCTCATCCTTCGGTCCAAGCATTTTCAAAACCAATTCATCAATTATAGGTTTAAAAAGATTAGGAGCAGCCCATTTTAATGAAGGGATCTTTTTGACTTCTCCTAACAAACTCGGGACACCAGAATATCGTTTTGCTTCAATTTCATCCCTGTGAGAGGCCATATACTTTGAAATTTCAGATTTCACTTGTTCGGGAGAAATCTCTTTCCCAATTCCTGATACTTCGCTCATTTCTTTGTCATTCGCAGAATTAGGATTTCCTTTTACGTACTTAGTGGCTTCAGTCACTTGTAAATTTGTTTTTAAACGACCATCTGTTATCGCTTCTGTAACAATTTCACGCTTTGGGATCTCTATTCCTTTACTTTCTGTTGCAAGATGATGTAATAATGATGTTTTTTTGTCATCAAGACTCAGCTCCTTGGTCTCGCCTATTATTTCATATAATGACTGAGACACTTTCTTGTTCTTCACTATCTCCGCTGTCTTTTTTTCAGACAAGCCGAAGTTTCTAAATCTATTGACGAACTCTTCTTCCGACATTGTTTCAAGAATGATTAGAATGGTTATTAAATGTAAATAACTCCAATTAATGGTATTCATCGAGAGAAAATAGTCAGGAAAATTTTTTGATAAGGGCGTCGTGTATTTACCAATAAGTTTGCTCTCTATCATATATTGACTTGCAACCAAATCTAATTTAATCTTCCAAAACAAAATGTGAAGAGAAAATTATCTATTTCAGTTCCAATTTTTCTTCTTATTTTATATACTTTACAGACTTATATAATCTTTTTACTTTCTGAAATTGAGTATTACATATTTTAGAATCGTTAGGTTATAATCTGAAGAATATAACTCTCAAATGACTTTGAAAAAAATTCTAACTTCAATTCTTGAAGAGTTGAGCTCAAAAAAAACAGACGTATCGGCCTCCAAATTCCAAGCCATGATTGATGTCATGTCCAATATGCAAAAAGAGTCAGCAATTCCTTGTTTTTCTACTGAATTGGATATTTGTGTTCGTGAATTAGTTTTTCTCGTATTCCAAAGGCATCCTTCGCTTCACTACGAGACTAATGTAAGCTATATTTTGATATATCTTTTCACAAGCAAATTCGTGAGACAAAGCACTCATTTGATGGATTTTTGGCCCCTTTTCTTCGTATGTATTTTAGTTCAAGAACAGAAAAAAAGACCTACTTTTTAAATACTAACGTCTAGGATATATGTCCCTTGGGTATAGATAAAATGGGATTAAAAATGCTACTCAACGATATGACATGCTCTACAGACACTAATTGGATAAGTGCAAATGTTTTATTGAGCACACTTAATTCTGAGAATAGTGAAGAGTTTGCAAATTGCATAATTGGACTTATTGCCGAAAGCGAAACAATTGCGCAAAAAATTAATGATAAGATTATACGTAACGAAGATTTTACATCATGCAATCTAATAATTGAAATAATTGGAAAATTGAATAACTTGACCTCTTTCAATCTTATTGAAAATGGAAAAGACGTAAGAATAGCCCATCATGAATTCCCAAAAGATTTTGCTTCAGGTCTGTTATCTGTTATTCGCTATTTAAGTGAAATAAATAAAACCTTTAACAATTTAATTCAGTTGTCTTCAATAAGGTGTCATGGCTTAAGAAGTTGGAATAACGACTTTGAGAAAGATCATCTTGCCTTTTTTCAAATATCTCGAAACATTTTGATATATTGGTACACAGTTGAGCCCTTCAAACTTTCTCCTCTATTCTTGAGCTTGAGAAATCTAAGCATGGTAGAGGTGGTGGAGAAAAATACTGCAAAATTTAATTTTCTGAATCAGGAAGGAGCTTATTGGGATCCTATAAATTTCAGAAAAGTGACAACACATGATATCAAGTTTGAGGTAAGAATCAGGAAGACCGAATCATTCAATCACTTTGTGAGCATTATGAGGACAAAATTATTAGAAAAAGAGTGTAGAACAGTTGCTGTTCAATCGCCAATATGTGTTGGTATTCTGACTGGAAGAAAACTGAGTCGAAATGTTCCGACACACGCTGATTCTTCCAAGGCACGTTATAATATTCAAGAGAATTCAAAAAGCTCACAAAGCAAGCTAGTGGATACGAAAGTTAGTAAGGACTTTGGCATCAGAGAAAAGAAACCTTCCTCAAATCAGACAAGTAGGAAGAAATTTCCACGGAGCATAAAGAAGACAAAAAAAAACAAAATACTGTTCCAAAATTCCGAACACCCAGGAACAGACCTCAAAGTGTCTTCAAATGTACAAAAATCTGTCGAAATTTCCCCAAATGGCATTGCTGCAAGAATGAAAAATGAGTCGCGAAAATACGGCAAAAAGGCACATTTAAAGTCAACCAAAAGGGACATATGGGAACTATCGTCCTCAGCACCTCCGACGCCTTTACCAGAGACCCCAGACAAATTAGCTAATAACACTCGCGCTGCTAAGTTTACTTTGCAATCTAGCATTGAAAACCGATATCATGAATCCATTTCAAAGTCGATAGTTTCAGACTCACAGGTTTCGCCCACTCCCTTACGAGATAAAAGAGCGCCAGAATTTGATGATTCAAATTATTATTCTAAAGCTTCATGTTACGGTGATAATGATCAAGAGAGTCTCATACGTGGCAAGAGGAGAAAATCCATATATTATGCTGATTCATCGTCAATCCCAACCAAAACAAACGGTTATGTTCGTAGTAACATTTTTGGGCTGGAACCAAATATTAAAGACCAACGTAATATGTCACTTGAACATGATAAAAAAACTAACAAAGATTTCGAAAAGACTAATGAAACCCACCGCGATAATTTAACCGCCATTTCTGAAAATACACTAATGGAAGATACCTTTGATTTAACGGATAGTACGAGCCAGTCATTAAATCATACTACTTTACCATCTGAAGAGAATGTTACTGCTAGTACAACATTTATAAGCTCAAATCTTAGCAAAGGCGATGATTTGACGACTGATAACCCCTACACTCTCGTTAAAAAAGGTTTCGACTTATTTCAAGATCAAATAATGCGGCGAATGGAACACTTGGAATCTTTTGTTTGCAAACAAGAAAGAATATTTCGAAATAATTTTGAATCTGAACTCCAAAAAATAGAGAAAAGATATGAGCAAATAGAAAAAGGGTTTCATAAAACCAACAGCAAAAACGCATACAAACACTAAATGATAAAGAATGATTCGATCAAAGTTGGCCACTCTAAAGTTACGATTCCAATGATTATCTATTAAGCTTAGGTGTACCCAAGAAACTTATAAACCTCCTTAATAAGACTATTTGGGTTGTCTAAATACAAATGATGGCCTGATCTTGAAATAATGCTACATTCCGCCAAATCTTTTGAATAAGTCTTCTGAGATAATTTGTTAATCTCTTCCTCCATTTCAAATCCTGCCTTCTTGTCCATCCAATCTTTATCCCCATATAACCAAAGCGAAGGCAACCCCATAGCTACAAACCTAGCAGGGCAACGATCCAACAAGGGAAGCCTTGGAGATGCACCCACTTCTAAAACTCTAGTGATGGCATATTCACCTGATCCCTTGGCATTCAAAATCCTATACAAATAGCTATGCATACGTCGAAACTGTTCAGGATCTTTTGCATAAACGTGAGCTAACTTATTTGTCGTCCAACGGGATAGAATTCTAGACTTTAAAGGCCCCGAATTTCTCATCAAGCTAAGAGGCGAAAAGTGCCTGTTCCATAGATATAAAATAACCTTCACTCGAAAAGAAGGGTTTTTCAAAAACTCAGGATCAGATGATTGATCTGTTGGCCTATTATGGACGATGTCTTCTTGATTATCTTCAAACTCACGACTGTAGTTGTTAGTTGCAATCTGCTTATTTTCTGCTTCTCTTTTTGCTTCAGGGATCGCCGCCTGGTTCGAAACATCCTTGAGCAAGGAATATTTGTTTCTAGGCACCCCAGCAGGACTGATTAAAACCAATTTGTTGACTAAATTACGTATCTCTCCTGTACAGTCATCTTTTATCTTTTTATTATATTTCAAAGCATAAGCACAACTCAAATAACCCCCAAAAGAATGCCCGATTAAATTAAACCTGCTTAAGTTTCTTTTTTTTCTCCACTCTTCTATAGGATCAATAAACCAGTCTTCTACCTTAAGTACCTCATCTTTAGTCGAACATGGTAATTTTGGGAAGGATGGTCGAGAAGATAAACCAAAACCCAAGAGATCAATTGCATGAATCCTAATTCCTGGAACCGATGATAAGAGATCATAATTTTCTATAAAAAGCCCTAGCGCTGCACCATATCCATGAATCAAGACGACATCTCTGGTTGTATCACTGTGAGTTATTGCCGAAGATGGCTGTTCGATATTTTCAATATATAATTCGTGTATAAAATTTCCCCCTCCGATATCTGTATCTATAATCTTAGCTACTCGTTTTCCATCGCTTTCGGGAAAAAAAGGTAAACTTGACAACAAATTATACTCAGCATCTTGATTTGAGTATTTCCAAGCATGTTTGAGCCAGTCACTGAATGATTCCTTATAAGAATATAGAGGTGGCTCATATTTATCTATTGGTTTGCTTGCAACCGACTGAACAAGGTCGCTACTTTTGTCATTCCTCGCAGTACTGGTCATAGTTTCTAGTTATGTCGAAGAAAAAGAGGCCAGATCCTAAGCTAAATCTAGTCCGCTCGCTTCTATTGGACTACCTCGAGGAATTATTTTGCCACCTAGCTGATGAATCTGGCTAGACATGTTTTTATAGAAAACAGCTGATAAAATACGCACCAGCCACTATATACAACACTAACGGAACCTAATTATCTCCGAGCCGTACTTCCCAAATCACGGAGACAGTGGGTTTTGGTGATTCATGGTGAGCACACGTCTTCAATATAGTCAAGTATTTCAAAAAAAAAAATAAGTCGTGTAATATGTCGAGAAAGGGTTTTTCCACAGCACTCAGAAAAAGTACTATTAAGAAATACTTGTATCATCAGCAATTGATAACTAGACAAAATGGTAAGTGTTAATCGAATAGTAGAAAACTGGCGAACATAGGGGAGTTTTTGGTTCACCTTGGCAGCATTTTTGATATCAATACTAACTTTCGCATAGGATACTAAAACACCAGTTACATTGGCTAAGGTCATCAAAGTATTGGGCAGAACTGGCTCCAGAGGTGGTGTCACTCAAGTAAGGGTACAATTTTTGGAGGATGCTTCGAGATCGATTGTCAGAAATGTCAAGGGCCCAGTTAGAGAGAACGATATTTTGTGCTTAATGGAATCTGAGCGTGAGGCCAGAAGATTGCGTTGAAAAGCTCTATTAAAACATTTCTGAGGAATATTCATGTACAGTTATGTAGTGGTTTCTAGAAGTTTAGCTTAAGCTGTGTTCGTAAAGAATCCTTTTATTTAAATTCGTATTTAATGCAAAAGCTAGGCTATTCCCATGACTAAAAATGTAGAAGTATAGTATTAAATAAGTGTCCATATAGTGCATGACAGTGTGATCAGATGATAGGATCAGCACCTGGAAAAAGGAATCTTCATAAGATATAAAATTCTGCACAGTTTATTTCGACTTTTCAAGTGATTAAATGCACTTTTACTTATAGGTCTATTATAAGACATTTTAATTCATAAAAAACTTTTTGAAGGCCTCCTTCGTTGACTCCTTCTTCCGTTTCGTCCGCTCCTTTGACCAAAAACTTTGAACTTTCGAAAAAAAAATCAAATGCTTTATGTCACGAAAGTCGGGTTCATTCAATATCTCATTATACAAATCGACAGCTTTCATATCGAGTCTTTGTATTATAAACTTCTTGAGCTTTTCTGGCAATCGCTTATATGGAGAATGACATAGGTGATTGTAATTAATTTCTATGGTTTGGGTAGACCAATAATACCTAATTGAATATAAAGATTCACAATCAAATTGTTTTAAAGGGTGCGTCAATTGCCTTGATCTATCAGGAGTCCTCTTCGAGGCCACTTTTTGTTGTGAACAACAGTATTTCACTGAAAATATTTTCACGCCTTTGCCTTTACTGGGAACTTCCTTTCTGATCCACTTATAGCCAGTAATATCTAGTAGTGGATTTACATACTCATTATGAATTGAATTGACCATTTTTTGCCGTATAGATGCTTGCTCATCAATCGGTAAATCTTCGAAGTTAGAAAATTGAGGTAGGGTAGGATCTTTAAACTGAATCTTGTTAAGAGTGAGATTTTTACCGCAATTATCTGACAATACTTGCAACACATCTAATTTGCTTTTTATTCCACATGAGTCTGCATGGTATTCCCTATTCTCGTTGTACTCATCACCAATTTTTGAGGAGTTGTCGCTAGAATCTATTGACGTCACTGAAGTTATAGTAGAGCGTCTTGTGTAGGAAGATAGTTCAGAAGCTTCAAAATCACTAAAATCATCTTCATTTTCTGAAAACTTGCACCTTTTATTTCCAATAAACTCATCTTGAACACTTCGTTTTCGGTCTAGACCATCATAGTCAATAGCACCGAGCAGCGTATCTTGGTTATTATTAACAAGGTATTTTATATCCATAACAACCATACAAGTCCTCTTCTGAGGATCCTCCACTTATATAGGAGCGAGCTTCACGATAGCATATTATCACCGCCAAGGTCAACACTACTTCTCAAACATAATCGGCTCATTGGACGGGACAAGGTCTCAGAATTACGGGATTGTTAGGTACATTAGAGAACATGGGAACTCGCAGCTCTCCGCCATCATAGAACTCTATAGATCTACAAAACCTTCTCGCTTCTTTTACTTAGAGAGTCGATCGAATTTGTCTCCTAGTTTCATTATTGAGGTCAAACTAAACATGATGGCTTTAATTGTATTCAAGTAGATTATTATATTCTCAAATTGAATTTTCTACCAAATACGCCAAGTTCGAAGGTAATTCCCCAAGCTACTGCGTTATAAATCATAGGAGGAGTTTTAATCATGCCCTGAGCTTAAATAACCTGGTTCTTTACTTTGTGAGAGATTTCAGCGACAAAAACTTTTATCTAGCATTCCTTATGCATTCAGAGCTATTGATCTACTGATAGTGATGTATTTCAATGTCGCTATTTCACCTCTAGAATTTATAAAGAGTGCATGAGGTAAAGATTGTACTTTTTATAACAATATACCTGTCTTTCTAACTCCCAGAAGGATTATATATCTAACTAATGACATTTTTTCAAATATAAGGCTTTATGAAACCTTGTTGCGACATTTAGAAAGTGCTTTTCTAAATGTCGCAATATCGCAAAAACTTGGTCGAACATTTTTGTTGACGCTGTAGCGGTAACTAGTAAAACCTATGGAATCATAATTAAAAATGTCAGATTTGGAGGATGATTTGTTGGCTTTGGCTGCAGGGGGAGGACCCTCTGATTCGGAAAGCTCTGAAATAGCGACCAAAAGAGGCTCTTCGGCGAAAGGGCCGTCAAAGAAGAGAAGAGTCAATACTGGTGATCTTGGATCCGAAGATGAAGGCGAGCAGTACAAGGGCGAAGAGGAAGCAGAAGGAGACGATGACGAAGAAGAAGAAGAAGAACAAAAAGGAGAAGAAGAAGAAGAAGAAGAAGAAGAAGATGATGATGATGAAGTTAGTGATGGTGAAGAGATTGATGACTATGAGAAGGAGGAGGAGGAGGAGGAGATTGTGAATCCGTATCCACTTGAAGGAAAGTTCAAGGATGAAATGGATCGGGATGAGCTTGAACGAATGGATGAAATTGAAAGAGAACAAATTCTATTTGAAAGAGAGCAAGAAATGGATAAATATAAAGAGAGAATATATTTACAACAAAGAATGAAGCAACAAAGGGCGACTGACATCTCGAAGCCTACAAGAACTAGTGCTAGACAGAAGACGAGTGGTAAAAGCTCTAAACAGGACAAATTGAACGAACTTAAGAAACAAAGAGAGAAGAAATCCCGAAAAAGAGAAAAAGAACAATACGACGAGTACTCCGAAGAAGACAATAAAATGGAAGATGAAGAAGATGAAGATCTAATCGATGACAACGATGATTATGGCTATGCTGATAATGAAGTCGTATGGGGAGGGCCATCTAAGAGTAAAGTTAAAAGATCTTTTGAAAGGGCCACTTTAGATGCTGTTAATAAAGCAAGAGTAGGAAGGTCTATTCTTCATAAATACTGCCTTTATAGTGACTTCGCTGAGACAGTTACAGATTGCTTTGCTAGGATTAATTTAGGCTTGGATAAGAGAACTGGACTTCCGATGTATCGAATGGTTAAGATTATTGATGTGAATTCTCATAAAGAAAAACCGTATCAATTACCTGGTTTTATGTGTGACATATATTTACTTGTTAGCCAGAATAGGAGTCAGAAAAAAGAATTTCCAATTAACATTTTTAGTGATTCCCCGATAACAAATGATGAGTTTGAGAGATATAAAAATGAACTTTCCAAAGCTGATGAAGAAATAGACTACCTTGATGATGTCACAGATAAATACGAACAATTGCAACATCTAACAAGCAGGGGTATAAGTGATAAAGACGTAAATGAGATGATCGCAAAAAAGCAGCAATTACACTCTAATTTGAATGGATACAATGCCGTTATATATAAAGCAAGACTCATGGACGAGCTTAAGATTTACAGGCAAGAGAATAAAAGGCAAAAATTTGAAGAGGTAAGAGAGAAGTTAAGAGCTTTGGATAATGATATGAATCAAGAATCAGCTTCTCATAATAACTCTGAGTCTTTGAATACGATGTCGAAGGTGAATGAGAGAAACAGAAAGTTAAACCAGACAAATATCAGAAAAGCAGAGATCAAAAATAGTGTTTTGAGGAAAACCGCTAATGCGAACGACGAGGATCCATTCTTACGCCTCAAGACTTCCACTAGCGCTTATTATGAAGACATTATCAACGAGGAAAACGAAAAGGCCATGCAAGATGCGCGTTCCAACTATCAAAGCATGCTAGAAGAAAAGTCGAAGAACGAAGAGAAGATCGCTAAATCTACATACAGAGATCTTGGCGTAATGGACGCTTTAATTAAAAACGTGAACGTTGAAATTAAGCTCGATGTATAGGTATACTAGTAAACGCCGAGCAAAACTTATATTAACTAACTATGTACAATCCTAAGGGAAATCTTAAACATCAAGCTCTTTTAACAATTGGGATCGTATTTCTCGTCTTTCATTAATCTTATCGAAATCCAAGTCTGGACCTGAGTAAATACTAGTATCGTAGTCTTTTGAAACGTAATATGATTGTATTGATTCTTCTGAATCTATACTGTCTACTTCCGAATCGTAATACGCAATAGATGTACCTGCGAAATTCCTAAAACTTTCAGGATTGTCCAAAAGATACTCATCATCAATCTTTGCCTCGTACATGCTATTACTATCTATGTTTTCCGTACTAGTTTTATTCGAATTATCAGATGACACTAGTGGATTAGAGTCATACTTCGTTGCAGTGTATTTTTCATCTGACGAGCTAGCAGAATCTCTCGACTTTGTTTTGAATGAAAAGGCTGAACTTATTTTAGATATTACTGACCTCTTCCTCGATTCATTACTGCGACTCTGTCTTAAAGCTTGCTCAGAATTGTCATACGATTTTCTTTTTAAAGAACTAAATTTTCGCCTTTGCTTAGCATTAATAGGATCGTGTTTACGGCTGACTTCACATGGAAGGTCAAACGATACTGCATTTGTTTGTAGATTGATATAGTAATATTGTTCTAACGTTTGATCGAACTCCAGTTTCCAGACCTGGCCCGATGAGTCAATGAGTTCTGACGTTTTCATTTTTAGCTGCCCTCCAACGTATTTCAGGTTAATGAAACAGTTAACTAACGAACTCTTTTAAAAGTGATGTAGCTTGCAAGAAAGTATATATCAAGTAATTGAATATGAATACTCAACTAGTCGTACATTATAGGGATAGTGCTGTTGTTTAAATAGGATGCCCGTATACTTATAAATAATCAATGTTATTACTAAGGCCCGTAAATTTCTAATTTCCGTTTTTGCAATCAAAATGTTCCTAGTCCCCGACTCATATCCGTCTGCTCCGCCGCTCCGTTTTTAATAAGATACGCTGAGCCAGCAGAGGGGGATTACCTAAAAGAGAATTTGCCGAACATTGTGCACGCCGTGTTTTACAAATTTGTTTACTTATTACATGACGTCTAATTTTTGCTTTCGTAAGCGCAAACTTTTCTCTAGTATGCCGCCACAGTCAGCCAGATCTTTGAGTCCTTATATGCAGGTCTACGTTATTAATAAAGAAAGAGACACGGCTATTTACAAAGCTAAATGATCAAGAAACGCTTTCGTCAGATAGGGGCCAGTCACAGATGAATTTTACGAGAAATTATCCATAGCCGTGAAGCCAAGTCCCGCTTATTTAAGCGCTAAATTGAAATTCTTATCGCCAGGAACACAAACCAATGGAGAGAAGTAATTCTCACAGCCTTTCAATAGTCTAAATTTGTGACTCAGTTTGAATTTATGACTTAACTTTCTATCTTTTTATTCCTGCTATACTTTGAAGTGTCTACCATTCAATGGTGTTGGAACAAAATGAATTGCTATCAGAATATCTGCATATAATTTGTATATGCCGGAATATTGGGTACGTGTATAAAATGTTGATCTCCAGGTATTCAAAACTACCTTCTATATCTTTTCTTTAACTCCAAGTTCATTATAAAATGGTTTCTCAAGAATTCACGGAAAAGGTAAGTCAGGGGGAAGTTGCATGAAACTATAAGTGTTTCACTTTTTATAAGTTCTCTAGATTTGTACTAACTATATAGGCTAATACTGTCCAAAATTTAACTAAACGCCCATCGGACGATGAGCTTTTGAAATTGTACGGCTTGTACAAGCAAGCAACTGTTGGCGATAATGATACACCCAAACCAGGTATGTTTGATTTGAAAGGAAAATACAAGTGGCAAGCTTGGAGCGACTTACTGGGAACTTCCCAGGAAGATGCCGAGACGGAATATATCAAACTTGCAGATGAATTGATTGCTAAATATAACTGAATATTTATGTATTTAAATATAGCGAACCAATAAAAAGCTCATAGTTTCTCGCAGCCATTTTCTCAGGCACTCTTTTGCTTCTCCTCTTGTTGAGGAATGATGTTTATTATCCGCATAGTAAAATCACACATCATAACAAGCGGAATTAAAAAGTAGGGGAAATATAAGGCTCCTAATTTCAAAGCTTCAAATTGAGATAAACCATAAATTTCGTATCTATTGAAGACGTAGACAAGACATACTAGTGTTGTAAAACATGCGTTAAACCCATATATCACCATGAATGGATAGATTCTCTTACACAGTCGCCTTAGACAATATGCTCCGGCAACGAAAAAAGGCAATTGAACGAACAATTCAAAAAAGACGAATAAACGGAGCCATAATGGTGGATTCTTTGCTAAAAAATCCTTATTTTGAGATAAATGAAGTTGGATTAAGAATTTCGATATAAACGTTTGATACGACTCAGGAATCACAATTCCTTGATCAATTAAAACTGTAATTGGGACATGGATCACAAGATACCAGAAATAGAATTTGTCTCTACTTTCCATGAGTTCTGAAATTTTTGTTATATAAGACTTCAGAAGTTTTTATGAGACACGCGCGATGGTATTAAAAATTGTAATTTCACCCTAATATTTCTTTTTGGATAAATCCACATCCACGATCCATGCATCGAATCAAGTATCCTTCATCTGCTTTGAAAAAGGAAATTATCAAAAGAATTTTTATGTCATCGTCACCAATTTCCTCTTCATTATCTGAAGTCCATGATCATCAAACTTTAGACCGAACTGTCAAGAAGCCCAAACTTGCACTAACTTCGAATGCAGACGAATGTACCAAAGCTATTTCGAATCCTTTGACTCAAATGCAAAAAATTCTTAAAAAGAAATCTTCTATTAGAAAGCCTATTGTGTGGATTGATTGTGAAATGACCGGGCTTAATGTCTACGAGGACAATATAATAGAAATATGCTGCATAATAACTGATGGTGACTTGAATATTGTGGATTCAAAAGGCTACGAATCTACTATTTACTACCCAAAAGAAGTGTTAGATTCCATGAATAGTTGGTGTATAAATCAGCACGGGAAATCTGGACTAACAGACAAAGTGTTGGCAAATCCTGACCAAACCTTACCGAAGGTACAAGCAGAGCTTCTAGAGTACATTAAACATTACGTTGACGAAAAAGGTAAGGCAATAATGGCGGGAAATACAATTCATATGGACAAATTCTTCATGCAAAGGGAGTTTCCGGATATTATAGATTTTTTGCATTATCGCTTAATAGATGTTTCAACAATAATGGAGGTTGGCTATAGACATAATCCTGAGTTGATGAGGGCCTTTCCGAAAAAAGTTGGGAACCATACAGCCAAATCAGATATCTTGGAGAGTATTAATCAGCTAAAGTGGTATAGAGATAATTACTTGAAAAGTGAGTACGAAACTAAGGAAATAATTCAAAAATTCAAAGTCAATCAAGAGGAATCTTGAATAACGAAGTTATAAAATAAAGTTAAGACACAAAATATGTGTATTATTTAGGTTCCTGGAGAGAAGACTATCTTGTATCGCTATCACTACTGATTGCCTCGTCACTTTTAACGAATCTATTGACACATCTCTCTATCAGTTCAAAGTCAGCAGGTTTCGTAACTATATCATCAAAAACATTAGACTCCTCGGCTTCTTTTTTAAAACCCGTAACTGCAATTATGGGAGAATTCGAATTCGGACCAGATGTATATTTTATGAGTTTGATGGCATCGATAGCGCTCACTTTCGGCAATTTCAATGCTGTAAATATTAAATCGAACTTCACTTGACTGGTTGCCCTTCTTACTAGCTCATCTCCATCAGAAACAGAAACAACAATACATCCACATTTCTCTAAAAGTCTTGTAACACTATGTCGAACAGCTGGAATGGATTCGCAGTAAAGTACATCAATATCATTCAAAGAAAGTCTTGTAATATCAGAACCGCTAGAAAATGAGCCCATTCGTCTGTTAGTTTCTCTTCTCTTTTTAACCCTCAACAAAGCCTTAGAATCGTCTGACTCAGTGGAAGGAAATGAATAATCTGAAGACTTGGCCCCATTTTTTGGTAAAGAATTTAATGGACTTCTGTTCTTAGATGGGGCTTCCGAAGTTGGTGACGGCCTATCGAAATAATACTCATCTCCACTAGAAGCCGTACTTGCGACTGAGCCGAAACTGTCGTGCTTCACGTACTGTGGTGAAAGCAAATCCCTATGTGGTGAAGATGATCTATTAAAACTCGGAGCCAGAGGTGACACTGGTCTTTTGAAAGGGCTCCCTCCTGATACGCCACTGAAAGAGTAGCCTCTAGAGCGAGAAAGAGGCGTAGATTCTGAAGAAGAAGAGGAGAAACTATTTCTGTGTTCCAAGTGCTCGTTCTTTAATCTATTGATTACATCCTTGTTTGCTTTTTCGAGGACATTCAAGTTTCGAAAGTGAAAAGATCCGAACTCACTAGGATCAGCAAGCCTGCTTCCGCGACGTTCACGTCTCAATTTTCCAGGCTGGATCATTCCTTGGTTTGATGGATAAATAGAAGGTGAGCCTGTGTCATTTGAATTTATAGAATTCGTCTCGGTGTCTTCAGGATCAGAATCTTCTTTTGGGAATTGCGAAATGTCGGCCCCCCTTAAATCAAAGTAGTCAGTAGATTCTGGATCTTCCAACTGAGGGACAAATGGAGCATCATTGGTGAATAAAGTATCCCAATTTACTCCATTAAAAAACGGATGCTTTTCTATTTCCTCTGCTCCATTGCATCCTAGCCTTTGTTCCGGATTCAAAGTCAACAACTTCAAAATCAAATCCTTAGCTTCAGGAGAGCAGTACTGGATTTCTTCATCCTGCGGTAAAAGGGGCCAGTCAATTTTTCCGCTGAGAATATTTTTAAAAACTTTGTCCGGAGTATCTCCATGAAAGGGTGTGTAGCCAAATAAAAATTCAAACAAAATGCAACCCAACGACCACCAGTCAGATGTTTCACTTTGGCCAATACCTTCGACGGTCTCTGGTGCTAAGTAATCTGGTGTTCCTACGAATTTTTTCAATTCTCTATCATTTTTTGAATCAAATAATGCATATGACGATACGGCAGAATATTGAGATGGACTAACTTGAAATTCATCTTCTACCACTGCAAACGACGATTCAGAAGAAGATCGGGGAAGTATGGGCTTTAACAACGGTGATTCAAGACCGCTAGATGTTGAGCCAGATCTCCCTTTCATAAAAGAATTTGATCTATTTGTGGAATATGAATTGGCATTTAGAATCTGATGACTGAAGGAATCAATGTATCCTACTGTTGGCGACGAAGCCAAGGAACCACCTCCCCCTGTCAGCTTGTTATTTTCCAATGTTGGAGAAAGAGAAAAAGGCGTAACGAGGTGATTTTTCTTGTAGTTGGATTCCAAAATCGGAGAGTCACTCGATATCCCTATTCCAGATGGATTTACAGAGGTCTGCCCAGATTGCTGCTTCAAGCTTCTCCGAAAAATTTCAATGGCTTGTTCGGAAGTGCTGCTCTTCCGTTGAGATCTATCTTGTCGGCGTACAATACCCATTCGTGATAATCCAAAGTCTGTTAGCTTTAAATGGCCTCTGCTGTCAATTAATATATTATCGGGTTTCAAATCTCTATGAATGATGCCTCTCTTATGAAGATCATCTATTCCTACGATCATTTCAGCCATATATCGTTTAGCCCAATCAAGTCCTAAAGTGCCAAGTGCTTTGAGAAGAGTTGCACAGTCTCCCCCGTTCAAATAATCCATCACTAAGTATAAGTAATCCCTACTTTGAAAGCTGCAATATAGTTGAGCAACATATGGTGAATCTGATTGCCTCATCATTACTGCTCTTTCGGATTTTATATTTGAAATCTGATTCTTCGCAATCATATCTCTCTTTTTAAGGCATTTTATCGCCACATAATCACCAGTCAATTTTCTTTTAGCAAGAAAAACAGAACCAAAAGCTCCTTTACTAATTGGTTTCAAGATCTCATAATCACGGATTCCACCTCCACTTACTTTATTTGTAGGAGTCAGAGAAACAAGTAACGGTGACAATGGCGGCTTACTAATTGAGCTCTTGTTTGAATGACCTGGAAGGCTACCCGATAGTGAGCTTCTTTCCTGGATAAAATGATCCCCGTTATCAGAAGTAGAAATTGAAGGAGATGATGTGGGGGTTTGTTCTAATCTAGAGTTTGTGCTTCTTTGAAGAGATGACAAGCTTTGTCTTTCAATATAAGGGATAGGTGACAAATGTCGTCTTGGCGAAGAATGTGGCGAAGGATCAGATGATTTTTTAGATAAATCTAAATCATTCATAGGATCCATTAACTCTCTCGAACTATTTCTTGAATTCAATCGTAATGGGGCCCCAGAAGAGGATGATAAAGGCGTGGATAATTTTGGAATGTCTGGGTCTCCTTTCAATAGCAAATCTTTCGGGGTCACAGAACTCATCTCATGCCCAAATATCTCATCATTAAAAATATCATTGGGGCTCTTAGCTCGTGATGGTCGAGGTGAATGCAAAATTCTAGCAGAACTTCTGGTGTTTATAGTTTCTTTTTCATCAGTTTCCGAACCTGACTCAAAAGAGGTATTCAATGATTTTTGCTCCTTGATTTTTGATACAGTTTCTCTTACGACTTGAAGAACCAATGAGTCGACTTCCTTCTTGATCTTGATAGAATACTGAAGAAATGTTATAAGTCTAGAAACAGTCTCAATTTTATCATTCACAAGGCGATGAGTATCTTCAACAATTGCTCTGATGGCCGCATCAGATGTTTCGAAAGGCTTCCAATTTTGCACATTGTTGATCGACTTTTCAGTAGCTGGACTAAACTTCAATTCACCATTTTCATGAGGCTCGGCTGGGTTAATTGTTAGAGATTCATCACATAGATCTATTAACCTCTGCAAGATTCCAAAGGGAAATTTCTTAGGCTGAAGGATGGATTGACTAAAACTTTTATGTAGCACTTGGTTAGTCAATCTGGGAGAAGACTCGAAAACATTGGGCAAAGGTATACCTTTGTAGTCTAGAACTAGGTTTGAGCTAGACAGGGTAGACGAGCTTGAACTTACACTAGACAACGATGAAGAACTAGACGACATCGGAGAATGGTTATACTTCAAACTTTCTATGATCCGACAGAGAAGCTCGCGATGCTCGCTCAAAGCATCTTGGCAGTTCTGCAACTCTTCGTTTGCTCTGTGTTCAACAAGACATAAATCTGAATGTGTTTCGATGAACCACACAGGAACTTGAGATTCGCAGATTCGACAAAGTATAGTCTTCGGTTGAGGTACGCATTCTTCATCTATAATGCCTAATTCATTCAAGCTGGACAAATAGCCTTCAAATATTTCAGCTCCAAACCCCAATAGATTTATAAGTGGTAGAGGTAAAGTCAAATTAAGGTCCATATGAACAAATGGTTTTATAGTCCACATAGAATGGGTAGGTAAATTTGTCTTTGTATCGTGAATTAGTATTCCTTGAGCCTCCAATTCGATCAAATCGCCGTTATTTGACAACTTTGAGCTAATAGAACTTTGTATATCATTTTCCTCCTTTTCATCATTTGTTGTTTGCTCTTGCCATTGCAATTCGTTTTCACTTGTAATAGAATCATCTGAAGACGCTTCATATTTCGAATGTTCTTGCTCTTTGCTTATTCTATCATTGGTTGCAGTTATGAATTTGACTTTGTAGCTGGCATCATCAATAATCATATTTTCAATTGCTTTGTTGAACACTTTCAAGTCCTCATTATCATTACCAATAATAATATTTGATATAGGTTTATTAAGTATTTTCTTGATTTTAGTACCCACCAAAAATTCCCAATTATGGCTCAAATATTGAACATTACCATCTAGATCAAGCTCCATCACAGTAGTAGGGTCATTAGAAGACGCTAAAATCAAGTCGACTCGTTCTTCTATAGTATCTTTGCATCCTGGCGACACCTTCACATCGGTGGTAACATTTTGCTCAAATTGACTAATAATCTCAGGTTTATAACTTTGCTCTGACTCAATATTCTGGTTTTCACTAGTGCAAACTACTTCATAAGGGCTCATGGAGGCCCTTCCCAAATTAGACTGCGAAGAAGACTTCTTCTGCCTTGAAAATTTTTTGTTTTTAAATTCAACGGCTTGCTCTTCTAATGCATGTCCCTTCTCTGTATTCATTATTGATTCTAGATTAAGAGAAACGGTAACTTGGAGAAAGAGTCAACCTAGAGTTCCTCTGTAAAGAAGGAAATTGCAGCTGTGTTATACTGCAAGTAAACTTCCGTCTTGTAACAAACGAATTACTTATGATGCCGATGAATCTGGGCAGCCGTTCGTCTTAAACATAAACAGGTGGGTTAAACAGCGCTAAAGGCGATAATGTTAAACCTGCATTCAAATAAATATTTCTATATCACAAGAAAACTTCTTCAGAGATACAAAACATATAAATAAGCATACTTAACTCTAAATTGTCGATTCAAGAACTTTTTTTCGACTATAATCATTAGACATTTAAAAAAATTGAAAAAAAAAAAATTTTTGGAATAGCTATTAAGCAAATTAAAAGTAATAATCAAAAGTAATAATATATAATTGCAAGAACTTGGTAGCCGCTCCCAAGGGTGTCGGATCAATCGGCTTAGACATTTGTTGGAAATGTAACAGCCAATTGATCACATTTTGAGATATTCCTGTTGAAGAATTGAAAAGGTCGTTAAATGTAAATTCTAATTTTCGTATCTTGATACACTTTAAGTGATCATGAATCATAATAATCGTTTCATCCGTATGCTGTGACATTGTGAACCATTTATCTAGAGACTATCAGCTGGTGTACTGAAACACAGAGTTAGAATCTGCCATCGACCTTTTCTTTATACTGTCTAAAAGATCTGTGCTTTTCTTCTCATTCTTCTGCAATACTAAATTCTTGAGGCACTTATTTTCCATCTCAAGTGTTTTCAATTTCTTATCAAGAGCAGCAACTTTTTCTTCCAATTCCTTCGCTCTTTGTTCCATTTGCTGCTCCTTCATCTTTTTTTTAATTCTGAATCTCGCAGATGCTGCAGTATTGCGTTTTCTCTTGTCTTCGGCATTAACATTCATAAATTCTTGCTCAGAAAAAAAAGAGGGCGTAGATGCTGTGGAATCCCTTGTAATTTGCGGAATTTCGACAGCAGTTATAGATTCATTCTTTTCAATATACTCTTCCCTTGGCAAATCTTGCTTCTTAGTAAACGCCTCTAAGTTAAAGAAGTCTGAATGAGAAAATAAGTCCAAATCATTTGGTGAAGTACCATCGTTTAACGTCGGTGAGATTCCATTATCATCAACGTCAATATAAAGATCATTTAAGTAATCTGTTGCTTGGAAATTCATTATTAGCCACCTTATAGAATAGATCTAGGCAACAAGCTACTAAATTTCCAATTCAGTCCCTCAGAAAAAGATTCAGTGTATTCAAGTGTAATTTTTCAAATAGCAATAACACTTGGTGAGATAAAAGTAGATTTAAAATAATCTTGCTTTTCGTAGAATAATTAAAAGGTTTTCTCCGAGATTTGCTTATAAATATATCTTGCTACTGAAAATTTTTTGAGAAATTTTGAGAACTTTTTCTCTCTGTCATCGTCCGGTTCCGCTGACTCAATAAAGTAATCTTTGGCAGATCATTCCATATGCAGAACTAGCGGATTTTGAATTTTAGTCGTGCCCTTTCGATAATCCTAGTGGGAGAGGGTACGCTAATGGGTCATCATCAAGCAAAGGAGGGAGCAAACGTTTGTCAGCTATTATGGCTAGTTTTACTCAAACTTGAGAATCTACACAAAAGCAATGTAGGAAGACGTCTTTAAATGAGACAATTTTAGAATACCACATCGTGAAACAGAAAATAGGCTACAGCGTTATTACTCATAAACCTATATTTTACCTTTGTCTAAACATATGTCTTTCGTTGAAACGCATCCAAGGTTTCTTCTTACCATTTTATCTAATTTTAATCCTTAGTCTTTTAAAAGCACAAAAAAAACTTTGATTCTCAAGTAATTTACTTTGAAAATCAACTCATACACACTTAGAATTGAATTGATATAGCCATGATTCCTATTACTTATTGAGTTAATGGCCAAAAAAAAAAATTAATAATAAAAAGAAGGTACTCTATCCGTAAATATTTTTTTTAGTTCGCAACAAAAAAAAATAAATGATGGGCCCTAAGATAGAATCGCAATATTCAGTGGTTAATTGAGTCTACTAAAGACTTAAGCACTAGTGATTCTCCACTGCTCTCGCTATCGTCCGTTTTCAAGTTTCTGTCGATATCTTCTTTCTTCGAATTCATAAAGTTCCTTGGGATCTGAATGGATTCTGAATTGAATGAGCCTGAAAAAGACTGTTTTCTTTGGCCAGATATATCATACGGACCAGTCGGGATCTGGAAATTGGGATTCATAGAAAGCTGAAACTGGTCAACTGGAAAAGGAGGCGATACTTCATTCGACGATTGGTGTAAATTAAATTGAGGTGCAAAATTATGCATCTGACTTGACTGCTTCGATCCGGCACCTAAAGCTGAGCTGATTCCAAATTGACTAGAGCTATTAATCTGTTGGCTAGTCATTGCTTTCTGTGGAACGAAAGAGCTTCCCACCAAAGTAGGGCTCGTCAAAGTAGGGCTAGTCTCCTGCTTGTATGCTTGCAGTTGTTTCTGTGGTAAGTTCTGCTTACTAATATACGGTAATCCAATTACTGCACACATCCAGATCCTGGTCTTGTAAATTCTAAATAGCTCTCTTACCAAATCTCTGAAATCAATTCGCTTGTTCGTGGAATAATAAAATATCAATTTTTTTCTATCAAACTGATATTCAGCGTCGATCAACTTCATTTGCAACAAGTCAGATTGACTCAAATTAAGCCCACCGGTGGTATTAGACAAGCCAGTTGAATTTGCTATCTTAGCTAGACACAACCTACAGGCACGTTCTTCGTCCTGCATCTTGCCAACTATCTGGAGAATTTCGGCTGGCTGAGCTAATGAGAGAACAGACTTCGGAAAATGAAGAGCAGCAAGGCTAGACATGTTTGTCTGCTCACTTAAATTCTTAAGTGAAATCTCAACGTCGTCATTCTCATTGAGGGCAGCCTGTTGCTCCTGGTATTGTAAAAGTTTAAGAAGTCGAGCCTCGTCAACCGAAATATTCATCTTAAACACCTTACCTAAATCTCTGCCTCTGTCAGCTTCGACAATAACCAAGTCTCCTACCTTCAAATTTGACAAATCAGCCCCATTGGTATTCTGTTGAGGCATATAAGCAATATCTATTCTGCCTGCTTTGAATCCAATTAAGACCAACTCGTAGCTTTTCAAGGACTCCTCGACAGGGAACTTAGGTAACTGATATGCATCAGATAAATACTTTCTTTCCTCAAAAAGCTTTTCCTCTAGCATCTTCACTGTGACCTTTACTCTCTCATGAGGATCCAGTTCAAAATAGTCATTGACCAACTCGAAAGTCGCATTCAAATCATTCTGAGGATTCATGTAATGGTAATTCTTCAGATGAGACAGCAGTTGCGGTACTTGTGGTTGTTGTTGTTGTTGTTGTTGTTGTTGTTGTTGTTGTTGTTGTTGTTGTTGTTGTTGTTGTTGCTGTTGATGCTGGTGAGCACAAGGTACACTTTGGGCCCCAAAAGGTTGCCCTGTACCTGGGAAACTGTAAACATCACCTATAGAATGCCTTCTCAAATTCAACTCAAATTGGGATACGTTAGGGTTATTCAAGGGGTTAAAATCAGCGTTTGGAGAGCTGTTTGGACTAAAAGAGTAAGTAGTCGAGGCGTCTCCAAAAGAATTTCTTTTAGCAGGCGAAGAAAAGAACGTCTGCGGTTGTTGCTGTTGAGGCAATGATTGAAGTTGTTGTGGCTGTTGTTGATGTTGTGCCAGCCGTAAAAAGTCTGGAGGTGAACTCAAAGGAACACTTCCGTTGGCTCCAGGTACAGATGCCCTCTTTGCAGTGCCACCTGACCATATGTTCGAGGGTTGATTTGACCAAATGCTATCAAAGCTCAATGGCCTATTTTGATGTGGGTTGGTTTGATTCCACATTCCGTTATTATTATTATTATTATTATTATTATTATTGTTGTTAT